TGGTTTTTTTTTTTTTTTTTTTTTTTTTTTAACTGAAAAAGCATTAGTGAGGATGTTGGGTAGTCCTGTGAGATTTACATATACCCATAATAGTGCAATGTCTGCAACTTTGGTAAGGCACTGAGGGCCAGAAAGTGAAACTAACTGAGCAGATCAGACCAGTATCACTATCCAATCTTTTCAAAGACATGGCCTGGCTTAGATAAGTGAGACAGAGCTGCCTATGGGATAAGATCTGGGAGTACTGTTCTTATGGGTAGCATAATACATAACAAGGCAACTTATACATCTTTATTTTGGCAGAGCTTGAATCCTTAGGCTGCTTAACTGATGCACGTATCAAACGTATAAGATCTTTCCTCCCAAGAAATATTCTACTCTTAAGGCCTTTACATTTCTCTGGAAGAACAGCGGTATTGTGTGCAAGGGCTGTGCTGATAACAAACAGACAAGGAATGCTAAGTTGATCATCTTCATTCCATATGTCTGCAGTGGATGTACTCGGTCCTTTGAATGATCAAATGTACTAAATAGAGGACATCTCTATTTACTCTCTCTCAAATACAAACAGCCTTTGTTGGTCTCTAGTAGCCAGTGAGTCAAACAATCACTATACTGTGCAGATATTCTGTTCTGATAATCTAAAAGCAGGAGACAAAAGAGGAGTCAGGTGCCATCTGTACAGACTTAAAATAACAGGATACAATCCTAGGTGAATGTCACAGCAATAGGCTGCCATTATAGGCACTGATCTTACAGACCTTTACAGGGATGGGACTTCTAATGACTTTTTTTTTTTGCTTCCCTTGCCCTGAAAGCTGATCACAATTAGTTCAGTGGGATTCTGTTCCTTAAGGACTGCAGGATTGGGCTTTAAGCATAAAACTTGCTGGCTTATTAGGGACAAACAGGGTGGCACCAGCCTCTTCCCAGTGGGGGGCTGAGGTGGGCTAGTCAGAAAACTGTGGGGGTTGCGATACAACTTCTGGCCAATGGTCAAACATACTTACTCAGTTTTTTAACAATACCCACTTAAGGTGCTGTGCCTCTGCAGGTGGGAGCATGGCAGATTCAACTGCAGGGCAGGTGGTGAACTGGGTGGGAGGCAGGGGGGCTTGGACAGGGACGGTATTGGGAGGGGTGGCTACAGGGCGAGGGAGAAGGTGAATTTTGGGGTGGCTATAGCCCCCACAAAACTCCCCTAGCACCACCCATGGGGACAAAAATGGGAACTCTGGGACCAGATTTTCAGGTAAGGAACTTAGGCCTTCTGCCATTTGGGACACTTTGACTTCCAACTGCCTGACCTGTGCGATCTGACATGCACCTGATTACATCCACAAGGTTTTGTGGACACAAACTTTGGGCACAAGAGAGAGAACAGCTTGAAAAAAGAGCGAGCCTTTTAAAATCTTTCTTCTTCTGCAAGATGAGATTTCTGTCCATCTGAAAGTCTGTTATGACCATACAGTGTGTGGCACTACTGACCCAGGAACAGCAAAAGGACAGTTAATAAGGTATATTTCAAGATCTTGTTTTGGTGACCAACTAGAGCACTACCACTTAGTATTTTATAAAAATCAGAAAACTTCTATCCTGCTCTTCTGAACAACTTCTGAAACATACAGGAAAGCAGTTTATGATGAAGCTCAAGAGTTCATTTTACTTAATCTAAAATAACAATGCTAAAGTTTTGTAAGACTGGGTTAGAAGGGGCATGTAGGACGGCTAAAGGCAATTGCAATTGAAACGAAACTGAAGGACAAATCCTTGCTCAGTCAAAACTCCTGCTAAAATCAATAGGAATTTCATGCGAGTGAGGACTGAAGGGACTGGACTGAAGGAATATTTTATTCCCCGTAAATCACAAGCCATTTTACAATGTAAACAAAGAGCAAATATTTAAAAAAGAGCACAGACTAGATCAGCCACATTTAACCCCTCCTGGGAGTCACCACTCAGGGGCAGAGTCCTGGCTTTTTCTGTGTCAATCATGCTGACTAAACCACGAACCAGGACATAAAGTCCCCAAAGCCCTGTGGAAAGGCACTCTGTGAGGTAAGAGTGGGCAATTGTCTTCAGAGTAATCAATGACAACAGCTGACCTTCAGCTGCTGCACTCTAGGAACACCTTGTCCTCTTCTCTGGGGGTTGGGAAAAAAACCCAGATTTAAAGCCAAAGCCTGCTTGGCTTGCTGAAATCAATGGAACAGGTCCAGGGAGCAAGATCAGCAGTGTTTGGCCTTACATAGGTTTGGATCAGAGCCTTTGTATTCTGTGATTTCACTCCTTGCCCTGGAGTCCAGGCCTTGCTGATGAGTCTTAGCTTTCTTAAACCAAGTTTCCTTAGCTTCTAAAACTGACTTTACTTATGTTTCTAATTTCCATGCTTGTGGAGGTGTCCTGAAAACTGAAAATGGATGCCTTAACTATAGCACTAGTGCAGTCATTTGTACAGTCCTTCCACTGTGGTTTCAAAGCGTCTCTTAGGGACAGAAATTACACAAAAACCAGTATAAGTGATTGGAAACCAGTTCTAACCTGTAACACAGCAGAAGTTCAGTGCATATAAACTACTTTCAAAATGTCCTAAACTAATTTAAGATAAACCCGAATTAATGTAGTACCAGACTTAGCTGGTTTAGGTTAAATTGGTTTAATCTTGAACTTCTGTCTTGGATCCCCTCCACATTCAAGTTAACTCACAGTCCCCCGGCATCCCAGGATGCTTTGTACCTCCCTGCAATCCCATCCCCCCTATACTTGCAGAGTGGGCAGGTTAGCTTTGGCCCAAGCTGGCTGCTCCAGCCGAGGCAGGTGTGCTCTAGCACTTTCCAGCTTTTGGCCTGGGCCACAGCAGGCATGTCGCTGCGTTTCCAGAATCAAAAATGAATGTCTGCTCATTTGCTTGTTGGTGCAGTCTACACAGCTTAGACTTACAACCTGCAAATACTGAATCGATTCAGTCTCTGGTTTTTTGACTGTCTGTACTTAGCCATATTGATTCAGCTTCAGCCAGTAAATAAAGTTGACATCCAGATCTGCACCTGTTCAAGTGGTGCAAGTCTATGACTGGGCTCCAACCCTGCCTGTTAAGTTTGATGTACTTCCATTGATTCCAACTGGGCTGCTCTCACTACATGATGTTAAGCACATGCTTACATCTTGATAGGATCAGGGCTTCATGTTGTGCTGAGTGGCACATTTTAGTTTGTCTCCTTGGTTAAGAACAATGTTAAACTAAGCCAATATAACCCTAGCTTAACTGCCCCCCCCCCCCCAAAGTCATTTGCACCAGTTTAACCAGCCTTTTGCTGGTTAAACAGTTTAAAGTCACATATTAAGTAGCAGTGCAACTCTGTATGTATGTAGACAAACCCAAAGTGAATAAAAGTCTCTCCCAAGTCATTTAAGATCGTCCATGCAGGGGAGGGCACTGATATAATAGCTTTGGTGTCTACAGAGTACCTCTTCTAACCTCTGGGGGAAATTCCAGAGGTAAGTAAAATACACTCTGCTTTCCTAAGTACCCTATGTATCTCACCTGGATACAATATGCTTCACTTCCTTCCCCAGAACTCTTGTGCGGTGTGGCTGCATGCTGATGAATAACTCTCTCAGTGGGGGCTGCATTTTACTGGTGGATCAAGTGAGCTGTGTAGAGCACTGTGCTACTACTGAGATTCTAGCTTATTAATCAAAGCTGTAGCTCCTTGGATGAAAGGTGTTTGGGAAGAGTGGTACTATCATTAGTCATGGTAGTTGTCATTCTCAAGTCCAGCAGAGGCTTTAGAGGACTTGAGAAAGCAAGAAAGGAAGAAAGCAAACTCCAGCCTTTCAAAAGCATGGCTTAATGACCAAATGGACAGTGTGTTCAGGTTTTTCTCCCTTTCCTGGCACTGGGGGTCTGAAAGAAATGCCTCATGGTGTTGTCTGGCTGGAGAAAAGCCAGTCAGAGCTTTTCCTCAAGCAGTGCTTTTCCTCATATTTTCATCAAGCAGTGTTGGCCAAGAAGCACGTCCTAAGTGGCTCATGTGCTCCATGGAGAGGGTTGGGACTGGGCTCTCCAAAGCAGTAAGGCTCATCCAGACTGCTCAATGATTACCTCAGAGACTAAACCATGTTAATAATCAAAAATACATTTATGTTACCAGGAACTGAGAGCTGGAAAAAAAAAAAATCACTAGGAAAAATGGACCCTGTAAAGACCCACTGGGGAATACTCTGCTTCTAATCAGGCTGGGCGTGACCTGAGGGACCACTGCAGGTGGTCATGCAAACCTAATGCTAACACTGAAGCACTGTGCTACAAGGGGATAGGAATCCAACTGGAGGTGTTGGACATACTTATTGTCTGATCTAGTCCCATCACGCTGCAAACATACACACATAGGGAAGAGGAGAAACGCAGCACTGATGGGAGCATTGTCCTTTTCATGAAATACTAGGACAAGTGAGCTACTTAGTGCATCTTTGCTGACATCAAGTGACAACCCGAGAGCTGAATTTGGCTTTCATGCAGAAATCCTTTCTGCCTGTCCAATCAAGTGTGGAAAGTGTCAGAGTCCGTCTGAAAAAAAAAATCCCTCTCCAGCTAGAAGCAGAACTGCACTAATCAATTAAATGTTACTGGGCTAAATTATACAAATAAGTATGCATAAACTGAATTAGCAATACAGTTGGTGTTATGGCTCCCTAACTCCAATATAAACAAAGTATTGTAGGTTATTGCTTAGTAACAATGAATTCACGAACAGTACACAAGAATAAAGTATAAGTGTAGGGTATATGACTTAAAACTAGTAGTCTTGCTCTGTGTGATTCTGCCTCTCTGCTCATTCAAATTGCGTATGTTTTTTTAAGTTTCCCAGACATGAGCACAAGCAGTCAAAGACACAGACCTGGATAAGAAAAATCTTGAAGCATGCATGCCTTTAGATGTCCTGTGAAACACATGACCCGAGAGGGTTTGGTTTTTCTTTTTAGACCCTGGCCTGAAACTCTACTAACTTTCAGATTTCCTTTTGGCAAGAAAACAAATCCTGTGAAGCAGCAGAGATGCTCTTGTACGAGTACATGCAGAGGCTGGCTTGGAAGTTTTGCAACACGTGGTCAGTAAGGAAGCAGTCTCTCTGCAGCAGTTACATGTAAGCAGTGTTGCACAGTAGCCGCCTCTCCACTCCCCAGTTAACGGCCCCCAGGGAGGGTGTGTTACCTCACAAACTCACCACAGTAAGCCGTGACATCCTCAAACCCTGTGCTGCTTGGTGTGGGCACCCTCCTGGAGAGGAGTCATGAAGCTGCATACATTGTGCTGTGGGCAGTGATGAGCATGCACAGCATGAATGCAGCTACACTGCTTCTGGAACAGGAATTAGTTTATGCAGAGCAGCATGGCATGCTTGGAGATGCCCTACCTGGCACAGCAACTCTGCGGTATAGATATGCTTAGGGAAATATTTTTCTTGTAAATGCTTCCTGTTTTCTGTCCCAGAGGCTTGTTTATAACTCAGGTACAAGATCTGTGGTAGGCAGTCCTTCTGAACACAAGGCCTTAGTCAAGGAGCTATTTTAACAAAGAATTGTATAGTCTTCTTACTGGTTTAGATTATCTGTGCGCCAGAATGTTAAATGACTAGTCATGTCTCACCCTTCTTAAGGCTTCAAAATCTGCTACTGCAAAATGCACAGCTACCAACATTCATAATATAATAAAATCTTACGTTTGTACAGCAACTTTCATCCCAAAAGGTTTCCAAAACACTTTAGATGTCAATAGGAAAACTTACTTCTGAAATGAAATATTACGGAAAAGCAGCTATTGCTGGGTGATGTGTGGCAATGCATTACCCAGCAATGGCTGCTTGTCCTTAATGATTTTATGGAACAGGCCAGAGTAAAACAGGAAGTAAAGAACAGGAAGGTAATTTGTTTTTGATAGTTCTGAAAGATTGTTGCAGTCCAATGAGTATGTAGCCTGGGCTGGAAAATTGTATGGAAGTATCTTTCCATTACATACTGCAACAGAACACATTCCCAGGAGACATTTCTTGAGAACATGTGGAGTGTTATGTGGTCAGTGCCAAAATAGTCACAGAATCCTGTGGTAACCTTAAGGAGCTGGACTCCGTGAGCATGTCTGCACAAGATGCTTAATGCACAGTAGCCTAATAACACTGCACAATTGCACATCACAGGACAGACAGTGCTAATGCTACTGCACAGTATTATTAGGCTATTGTGCAGTAGTGTCACTAAAAAGGCATTCACCAGTGCTACTGCAAGGTAACTCTAGTTACTGTGCATTTAGTGAGTACTTCTTTAACCAGTTACTAAATTAAATGGCCAGTAACTACTGCACATTAATGAATGTGTAGATGTGCCCAGGTTGTAGCAAAGTTTGCTGGTGGAGCTATAGAGGTACAGGAAGGGCAGAGGGGTTGTGGGGGGAAAGAGGCATAAAGGGCTCCCTCTCCCTCCCTGCCTACAAGTCACTTTTACAATAATGCAAAACCACCTTTTTACAACACAACTTAAGTCCCCTGGTTTATAATGTAGTAACAGCATACTTCTCATTATAATGGCATATAACAGCTGTACTGAAATTCAGAGTCCAGGCAACTCCCTCTTGAACAAACACCAAAAATGGGGCTATACAGACTGCAAAAAAAAAAAAAAGGCACATGAAAGCTGCCCAAATCACTTGGACTGAGTAGGGAAGGTGAAACTAGGTACTAGCATTCCCAATGGAAATGTGCTCCTAGATGGGAAGTTTTCCCCAATCTGGCTTAAAGAATGGAAACAATTGGAAGAGAAAATCTTGTATTCACTGAAGTATATGAAGGGTGGTGGTGGCAATATGGTCGAGATGTCCATTTGGGAAACTAGATTTTGGTTTATTTATTCTTTAAAAAAGCCATTTTATTTAGGATTTGATTTAGCATACAAATTTGTCCAAAAGAATCATAAAGCACCAATTAAAACACACAAGCCACATTCCCACTTAAGAGTTGCAGCCAACTATTGGATCATTGTGCTAGGGCACAGGAAGCTAACAAAGAAATTAAATCAGAAACTATCATAAACTGATTATGCTACTTTCAGTGCTCAGAATAAAAGAAATGCAAGAAATAAAGTGACAAAAACAGCTAAGAAATGATGCTGACCCTTAAATTATTTCAAGTGCTCTTTACAAAGAGAGGTTTTATATATATATAAAGTTAATTTCTAGTTTAGAACTATAACATCTAGAGCACACAAATCAGCCATGCAAAATTTCACTAACATTTACTTTGAAGGTTTTGGCAAGCTTGTCGGTAAACACAAAAGGTTACAAAATTTGACTCTGAAAAGCACAGTCCTAGGATTTTCTTGTAAAATTTGAGTACAATGGTATAATTCTGATTTGCATCATTAGGTTTGTATCCTGCCCTCCAATCTATTGGGCATTCCTGATAAAGGCCATCTCTATTAGAGAATTTTCTTGTGCCCAAATGGTAGTTTATTCGTTTGCTCTAAAATCTGGTAACATAGTAAGTTTTACCAAGGAATTTGCCTTTGACTAATCCCATTCTGCAGACTCACAACATAAGCTAGATGTGCCATGCCAAAACATGCATACCATACCTCTTAAATTCTCTAACATGCCAACCAGGAGCAAAGTGAAAAAGGAAGACAAAGGGATAAAATTAGGATAATCACAACAAAGAGTGCCCATGCATTCATAAAAACCAATTCATATTTAATTAAACAAAAGTAAAAACATTCAAATATACTTGGCATCAAATACAGAACTTCTTAAAACATTTCTAGACATGTTAAGGCTAAAGTGGAAATGGGAGGAGGATGGTACCAGGAGAAATCATCACTAAAATATGAAGTAAGGATCGTCCGTTGACAGTCTGATCCTGGTGCCTTCAAAGGCAGGGATAAAGACTGCTGACACAGGAGGTGCAGGCTCTGGCTACATAGAAACCAGAAAGGATGGATCGAGGGGATGACGACAGATGCTGTTAGTAATGCGCAGCCCTTGCCTACCAGGATGGCTCTTCAGAGAACTGTGCAACTAATTCCTGACTCAGGAAGAACAGAGTATTTGGATGTGGATACAGAAGGACAGGCTGATGTAAATCTAGGGCTGTTCAAGAAAGTTGGTTTGCAGAGCTGGGTTTATAACTGAGGTGTTGCCAGTCTGGTCCTCAAGTCACGTAATCAGCCTGCTACCGTTCCACACTCTGGCTGGTCTACGATGTTCTAGGTTTTCTTCCTGGTGCTGTCTAATTTCACTCTCTTGGGAGAATCGAAGGCACCTAAAATAACCTTGAAGCACCCCAAATTCCCTCCCTTAACAGCAATATTAAGACATGAGGCCAGGACGACTGGCAAGAGGGATTTGCTATTGGCCCCATAGCTCCTGTTCTTAGTGCTTTGTCACTTAGCAAGTCTGCAAGATGAACCATAGCTTCCTGAATGCCCTGGCAAAGCACTTGCACTAAGCCTTACTGTAACTGAACACTGCAATAGGTCACAGGTTTTATTTTGTACTGCGTAGGATCAATATATGGGAACTCAGCGGAGATGAATGAAGGGAGGAAAAAAAGAATAATCACAGCTACCAGAGATGTCAACTCCTTTGTTTTCTGTTGTTTCCCCAAGGGACCTGTGGGATCTTTCATTTCTTCCTCTTTATTCTCTCCCTTCCTTGGTACCCATTCCTGACAGCACCTGTATTATGCCTACCCTGCGGTCATTCCCTCATACACTCTCACTTTGGACTCTGAACTCAGCATCTTTCCTGCTGATTTCTCTCAGCTGACACTCCCTTGGCCCAGTTCCCACTGGCAGGTTTTCCTTTCACTTCAATGAAGGTAGAGCAGACCCCCAGCAGGTGAGATCAGTGCAGACCTGAACCCACAAGCCTGAGCAATGCACTGATGCTAATTTTTTAACATCATTTCTTGGACCCCACAACCCTGCTGCCGCCAATCCACAGTTAACTTGTGTTTGAGCTGCCTTGAATTGTTAAAAAAAAAAACAAACAACAAATCAGGAGCTACTGATTCGATACGAATCCTCCTAGGTTCCCCAAGCACACTCTTCCTTCCCTCCAGCTTGTCAGTGAAGTGCTAGGAACAGGTGGAGGTTCCCCAAGCACACTCTTCCTTCCCTTCCAGCTCAAATCACCTGAATGCCTCTACTGCAGTTTGTGTGTTTGTCAAGTATGAAAGCAGAACACTACAGTGTACTAAGAAAGTGTCACTTGGATCCTGTTTTCCTTTCAGATTTCTAACAAATTTACTTTCCATAGATTTGGGACAGTTCCTTACAGAAAACAGTGGTGGCCTTAGGGTTGTTGGGGCCCTAGGCAAGAGAGTCATTGGGGCCCCTTAGAGGCTTAGTTTTGATGACCTCCACAGTTGTATCGTGGATCTTTTTAATATTCTTTGGGGGAATTAGATAAATAGTCGAGTGTCAAAATGCAAACAGAGCCACTTGCTTACAAAAACTTCAGCCCCCCTCAAAAATTGTTGCAAAATTTTGGGGCCCCCTAAAGTGTGGGGCCCCAGGCAGTTGCCCAGTTTGCCCTCCCCTAAGCCCACTACTGCAGAAATACTGCAGTAAGCCTCATTTCTCAAGATGCTGGACAGAAATGTCCAAAAGAAACCAAGGGCAATTATGCCTCAAACGAATGAAACAGCACAACCCAGTGGCTGGAAAGAAACAAAGCTGGGTTGTCCTTTACCACCCCACTCCCTGGGACAAAACCTGCCATGGACCTTTTTAACCTGAGGCCTGAAGCTGTTGAATTTTACTTCTTTCAAACTAGTAAAAATTAATGCCTGAATTACCAGTGTACTAAAAACCACAGGCAGTTAAAGATAAGGAGAACCTCATGAGAAAGTGACCTTATCTTTGCCTCATTTTGTATAAACTACGGTAGGTATGGGCTTGTGTCTACCATATACACGTTCTCGGTATCCGAGTCCTATCTGGGTACATCAGGTGGGGAAAAAAAAGCATTGAAGGCGTAACAGCAGGGAAATCAGACTCCATGTTATTTTTCAGGGGCCTACATTACAGCTTTTTAAAAAACTCAAGGGAACTGAAAACAAAGTTTGAATTGAGGGATTTGTTTTCCTCCTTGAAGTATTTGGCAAAGGAAGGGGTTTAACTACAAAGTCATGTAAATAAGCATAATTTTTTACATTTTCTAATACAGTTTTACATCTGAGGGATGAAAGGAGAATCCCCAGGTCTGGGCATTCGTTGTACTAGTCTTTTACTTTGCACTTAGGTAGAGTATCCAACCTGCAGACCCAGACCTGAAGTCCCACCTCTACCATCTGACGCTTCCACTCCAAGCTGAACTCCCTCAGGGGTAAGGGATGACCTTTGCTTGACTTCCATGCTGGACTGTAAGCAAGGCTACTAGGTACAGCAAGAGCACTTAGGATGTGGAGATGAGCACACCAAGCAGCAGATCAGTTTGGGAAGGGAATTAAGCTATAGTTGCTTGCAATTTCAAGGTCTTTCCAATCCCACATTCCTATGAGTTCATTTTTCTTAGGGCCAAGCAGCCACCAGTTTATGACAACCACTGGATAGTTAGTCTTATGATGAATTTTCAAGGCATCTTGTGGATCAGATGGAAGCTGCAGAAAGCTTAGACTCTCAGGGAAGGTACAAGTGGCATAAGTGATGATGTGTTTATGTAGCTGATATTCCTGCAGAGTTGACAACAAGAATTTCCAGCAGGCACTAGGCTCAGCTGGAAGCAGAACTAAGGCTGATACTGATTTTCGGTAATTAATAACATGACTAAACTCGCTGCATTCTCAGTTAGGAGTGCATATGCAATGAAAGGGCACACCGCAGCTCTGGAGTCAGCTCTTCTTTTGTGCAACTCTCCTAGCACCTAAGGTTGTATGTCATCACATCAGAGAAGGCTGTTGCTTCTCAAGTGTGGAGATCTGATGGAACATACAACTACTATGAAGTGGAGAAAGGATGCAGTTTACTGAAAAAAGAAAAAAAAAAAGTGACAGCCCTAAGAGGGAATTATATCGTTTGAGTAAGTCGCAACAAATAAAAATCTCAAGCCAAATCAAATGTCAGCCATTTCTTCTAAAAGAAATAACACATCTCAGCCCTCTTTGCAATGGACATGAGGTGGAAACTGATCAGTTAGCTTGTTCCTAGTTCCAAAACTCTGGAAATAAATGCAAACTGCAGAAAAATGATAACAATAATAGTGCTCCGTACCTGCATTTTCCGTTTGACAGTTTCAAAGGGGAAAGAAAGTGTCTGTGCTACACCAGCAGCAAGACAGCCATTGATGAAGTTCTGGAGGGGAGTGAAGTGACTGCTAGGCTCTCGCCAGATTTTGTCCAAGTTGATATACACGAATAATGACCCAGCAGAAAATGGGATAGTGCCTATAAAGCAAACCAGACAGAAAAGGTCGCCCATGAGCAAGCAGCACAGCATAAAGAAAGAGCCATGCTTTCTTCTTACCCCACTGATGATCTAAATGGTGTCCGACTGAACCAAAGAGACCCATACTTGTTAGATACTGCGGTATCAAGGGAAGGTCTTATTTAAGCTTTATGTTTTAGTGTCCAAATATGGCATTAGATATTTGCAAATGCAAACCTGTAGATTGTGCTGGTGCCTCTTATATCTTGGTTTCAGTCACTTTCTTCACTTTACACCAGCCCCAAGAGTGCCCACAGGTATAACAGGGCTGCCTCAGCATCCAGGGTCCTGGGTGACATTGCTATCTTGTTTGGTGTATTAGCTCTGTTCCTGCTTGCACCACATTTAAATTTGATTACAACAGGAAAAACAACGAGCATTTAAAAGTTATAACCCAATTTGTATAAACCATCGTACTGCATTAAAGTGTTGTATTCTGCAAAGCTGCAGAGAGATGGTAAATAATTTAGACAATAAATAACAAGTCACATCTGCCTCAGCCACAGAGACATACTGCTAGCTTCACCTTTCATGCATATTATATTGCTGTTACATTGCTCTGACCAGGTACTAGGAACTATAGGTATACGTTGTTTTTCTTAAGTGAAGGAGGGAAATGCTGCTTCTCAAACCAAAGTAAAAAAAGCTAAAGCAAAAATGTGTTCTTGGATTCTTTTAATCACACATACTACACTGGCAGCCCCTCACAGTTTAGAGGAATTTAGCTGTTGTAGCAATGACAAGATTGACACAAGTTGATACCTACAGTGCTGTGTGCATATATTTGCTTTCTAAAGAGCCATTTGTTCTTTTAAGATGTGCCAAGCAAGTTCTACATATGGATGTTTTAACATCCATACATGCAGCAAGGCTCAGAAATATGGTATCCTACTGTTAGCTTACCTAAAACAGTCGACGAAACACCACGATACAGAGCCAGGAATCCCTCTTGATGATATATTGTGTAGAAAGCATGAAGAATTCCTTTATAAGATGGTTCCAATCGGTTCTGCACAATGAGTCGGGTTTTAATGACATCAGTTGGGTAAGTTGCTATGGTTGCAACCATGCCAGCCAAGCTTCCTGCCATGATGGCATGCCATTGAGATATGTGACCCAAATCATCCGTAAAGAGCACAACAAACCTAGAACAGAGAAACAAGAGAGGGGCTATTCCTTTATTCTTCTCACATACACACACTCCAGAATATAATATACAACTTGTTTTTGAAAGGCAGAATGAAGAAAAAAAGATTTTTCCAGAGTTATGGCTGCATAGAGCAGGAACAGAGCCTCATCTTCAGCTGACTCACCCTGCCTTTCCTGCTTAACTGAAGCTGAAACCCTAGCTGCTGCTGAACACTGGTCTCCATGGGTTGATTTATGATTCTGAAAAAGAACTAAAGAGTCTCCAGGGTTGTGAAATAGGAGGAGAGAGACCTGGAGCAGCTAGCAGAGTGCAGAATTGCCCCAAAAAAGGTTAGCTTGATTAACAGATCATCAAGACCATTGAAAAGGAGAGACTATCTTTAACACCTGTGGAACAATGAGCCAGGCACTGTCATGTTCAGGCACTACTGCGCATTGAGGATCAAGTCCAAACTTATACTGGCTGTTAAAATGTTGATGCTGGTGTACTTCGTACATTTTTGCTAATTTACTCCTGGATTCATGAGATCTCCTTAGCAAACCCAGATTTGCCTTTCCTGTAGATGTGGCAAACTCATACATCACCCTGCAATGGGCAGCAAGGGACATCATTCAGCCAGCAAGCACTGGGGCGTGATCAAAAAAATCACAGAAGAATCTCAGTCCAAGCCTAGGGAGCAAGAGATGAGGAGCGCAGAAATGCATCTAGAGTTCCACATTTGTGCCTTGCAGAGTCCAACCAGCTCATTTACATGGTTAGACCAGTAGGGGCCAACCTTTTTGACAGGTATGCCACAAATTCGTCCCGTTCCTCCGTGAGTGATGCTCTGATCACCTTCCCCTGCCTGATCTATTGCTGTGCTTTCTGCCCTGTCTGCTGCTGTGCTGCCTTCACTTCCCACATCTGCTGCATGCCACACAGAGGCTGCCCAAGTGCTGTTGCCACTTGTGGCACAGACCACACGTTGCCCACCCCTGCGGTACACAAGTCCAAGGAGTCCAGCTGGGGCCACATAAGGCACCCAAGAGAACTTGCTGCAATACAGATCCACCACTTCCCATCCAGCTATGCCTTTCTCCTCTTAAAAACTCCCTGTTTTCTCAGTCTAAACATTCATGTCCCATACATGTCTATTCCTGTGGTTTCTATTATCTCCACAAACACATTACTATACACTGTTTCTCTCACTCTCTGGCATTTTATGCCTCTGCACTGAATGTCTCACTTAGGCAACTTGACAACTAGACCACAAATGGTTTAATGTGCACCAGAGGGAGGAAGTGAATACATTTTTTTTTGTGGTAAAGCCCCTGTTGAGTAAGTGAAAAAGAGAACTGCCACCCCAACCCCACGCAGCTGAATGCACTGTTTCAAGTCTCAAGATAAAATGCAGCCACCCTGTTCAAGACTCATAGGGCCATCACCAAATGAGGAGTGATACCAAATCTCCGGGCCCTGTGTGTCATATCCTGGAGTGTACACACACAGCTGTGATGATTCATGCTCTGCCAAGCCCGAGACATGCAATAGATGGCATCAGCCTGAGCTGAGGACCCCGCAGCAGATCTGATTGGGCAGCGGGAAGGTGAGCCCACACTTGTCCCCTCCTCTCGGGGTGGGAGAGCCAGCGAACTGGAATAACCCTCCTTCCCGCCAGCCGGAAAGGGTGCCTACATCATGCACCCAGCTGACCTAGATAAACAAACCAGCAGAGAAAAGAAGCTGCAAATCATCAGGCTGTTGCAGAGTCCACCGAAGGCTTTGCACACAGCTGACTGCCAAACACCGGAAGAAAAAGGACGTCCTGAAACGCTCCATTTCTATTGGGTGACATGGACAGAAAGACGCCACATTTCCCAGCACTCCAATTCCTGTCTCCCGTGTTCACTCCCCTAGTGGGTTTCCCCATCTTATTTAAAAGACGGGTTTTGGAACGAGACACATTTATAGCAACGTGGAGGGAGCATCAGCACAGCTCCTCACCAGGTCTGGAGACGGCACAGCTTGGATTCTGAAGTTTAATATTATCAAAGGGAAAAAAAATTAAAAATAAATATGGTCAGCAGAGCTGAAGGAACAGATGTGAAGACCATGGCTTTGCTGGGTTGTACCGTGAAGGACAATCGACTCCCAAGTTATTAAAACCAGCTCAAACCGAGCAGGCCCACTGGAGGGGAGGCTGGAGCAGCACCAGGCACAGGTGGATCCTGCTGTCTCTGCCACCCCGCAGAAAGGGCCAGCTGGCCAGGATTGCCCTGCCTGCCAAGCCCTCGCTGGCCTCTGCCACAGCCCAGGTATTCGAGCCGTTGGGGCCCTGGGCACGAGAGTCATTTGGGGCCCGTTTCGAGGCTTCGCTTTGCTGACCTACACGCCAGACGGATGCAAAATGTTGGGGCCCCCTAAAGCACGGGCTGCCCGGTTTGTGCCCATGCCCTGAGCCCACCACTGGCTTGCGGCTGCTTTCCTTCGCACCTGGCACCAGGGCAGGAAGGGGGCGATTCTTCTTCTCATCCCCCCGGCGCGGGGGGCCCGGGCCCGGGAGTACCGCGGGGCTTGCGGGGTGGCCGGCGGCGGGGCCGGGCGCTTACCTGCGGTAGGCGGCGAGCTGCAGGGCGCTGTAGGGCCCGAGGCGCAGGCAGGCCGTGAGGTTGCCCTTCCACAGCGCCC